TTGGTTGAGTCATTAAGTAAGAAATAGAAATGTAGACGTTGTTAGAAATGTATCAAGAAAGAAACGGCGGTTCTGGCGCGTCTGGGTTGTGGCCCACGGCAGTTCTTTGGTTCCTTCCAGGGATTAGCTTGTGTCTTTGAGCCCCATGCTCTTCACTCACAGAGATGGGGGGCTTGAGGGGGCACAGAGTGAAGTGGAGAGTCCAGCAGACGGTGATGAACGCAGTCCTCAGCCGCCCTCGGGTTTCCCAGCCAGACAGCTGGGCCCCGGCGGCCATCACCAGCACGTGACTTTTGCCAAAGGCTTGCCTGCTTCCATGACTCAGGATTAATCCCGTCCTTGGATCAAGTTGCCATCATCTTCAAACAAAACAGAGCATTTCCATTGAAAAATGATTTCCAAGCAAGTATGTGGCCAGCTCGTTCATCTTGGTATTTGGGTTAATATGCTAACCGTTTCATGTGAGCGAAGGGAGCCACCCCATGTCTATATCCTCGGGGCATCTTCGTTGCTTTGATTACCTCTCCCCACCTTTCACCCAAATCAAAGTCACATATATTCTTCCCATGCCCAGCCAGTCATTCCTCTTGCTGGCCTGATCTCATCTATTTTGAAGCTTGACATTGACCCTCACTTGATTTCCCCTCAAAATCACAGGCAGGCATCCCCTCCTGATTTACCCTTCAAAACATCTCCTTTCTCGCATCCTTTCTTTTACGCTGTAGTTCTCCATCAGAATCACAGGGGAACTTTACAAAAATCCCCACGCCCCAAGCACACCACAGACCAATTCCAGCAGAATCTTGGAGGGTGGGACCCAGTCATCCGTATTTATTTTTTAATAAGAACAATCCCCTGGAGGCCATTTATTGTGCTTGGAAGGCCCAGCCAGCCTAAGAGTAATGAGAATAGTGTGAGCCCACCTTTGAGAACTGCATTCATAACAAAGGACACCGATAGGTTTCCCGGTGAGAAATGCCGCCATCCTTGGCTTCTAGCTGAGGCCTGGCTTGTGATCCGAGTGAGTTTTATAAAGGACAGAAGAAGCTTCAGGGTTTGCACAGCCACCTCAGGGCACGTCACAGCCGCAGGTGGGGAGCTGAGGCCAGAGAACCCACTGCATGGCCACTACGGAGCAGCTAGAGAAGGGGGTGGCGGGCTCCCGGTTCTGACTCTTTCAGGGCCCTCCTCTGGGAGGTGTGGTCGACGGGACTGGTTGACCCCTTGGCTGCATTAAGCTCACCTGGCCTAGATTGGGCCCGCCCAGGTATATACTGGCTTCCTGTCTCAAAGGCCTGCCTCTGCGCATGCCCTCTAGCCTTGATCTGCTTCCAACTGCCTGTGAGGGGGGAGGGAGGCCTTGGCCTGTAGAGCGACAACCCCTGGTTTCTGCTTCGAGCTACCTAACAGCACTTTAAAAGGGGGAGGAGGGCCCTTGCCCTCAACGTACTTCCAGGATCATTTCTCGTGGCTACGCTTTGCAGCTGAGTCATGTGATCTCCTTTCAGCATGAACCGACCCTGTTGTTTCCTTGCCTTGGTTGGAGAAGGCATCATGTAATCCGAGGCTCATATGCTCACTCATCACAGCCTCGGATGCAGCCCTCTGTCCTCGTGTGCTTGGAGATCTGAAGCGGAGTCGATGGGCTTCGCCCTTCCCGCCTGCAGGGTGCAGGGTGCACCATGGTGGAAGCTCACAGAGGCTCCGTTTTGTTTGTTTTTTAAGATACACTAATGATTCCAGTGTGCAGCCCAAGTGGAAAACCAGTGATGTCATGGGATAATAGATCAAGAACCAGGCCCACATGTTCTGAGATTTCTAACATCTTACTACTCAAAGTGGTTCACGGACCAACAGCTGCAGCTGCAGCATTACCTGGGAGCTTGTTAGAAATGCAGAAACCCCAAGTGCAGCCCGTTGAATGGGTCCAATCCCCAGGTGATTTGTGTTACGTTAACATTTGAGACGCACTGCTCAAGGGGGTCCTGGTGACCCTGTGTACGTGTTGGGCTGCTAACCACGAGGTGGGGGTCTCAGAGCCGGGAAAGATTCATTACATGCTCAGAAGCTGACATCCAATCATCACACGGTCGGAATGAAGCCAATGGCAGTGGGTTGAGTTTTAGTCAAAGACATGCTCTAGCAGAGTGAATGGGGGTCCGCAAAAAGATCATGTCAAAGTCCTAACCCTTGGAACCCCTGAATTCCGATCTTATTTGGAAAAGGGCCTTTGCAGATATGAGGAAGGTAAGGGTCCCAAGGTGAGATCACCCTACATTAAGTGAACCCTGACCCTAGGAACATGTGTCCTCTGAAGAGGAAGGTGGGGGCAGAGAGGAAGCAGGAACACACAGGGAGAGAGAGTGACATGAAGCTGGAGGCAGAGATGTGTCTTGGTCAAGCCCACAAGCGCTCAAACCCAGCGCCACTGAGTCTAGTCCGACTCCTAGCGAGGTTGGCCGCCCAAAGCTGGAAGAAGCAAAGAGGGTTCTCTCCTCAAGGCACCCAAGACCTGGATTTCAGGCTTCGACCCTCCAGGACTGTCAGACAATACAGTGCCCTGGGGTAAGCGATGCCTTTATGGGAATTTCTTATGGCAGCCCTATTAGGAAGCTAACGCACATGCCAAGAATGCGAACTGCCCCAGATGGACACTATCAGGAGAGTGGTTACCTGGGATGGTGGGAAGGATGGGGGCAGGTTGGCTCTTGCCCTCGTTAGTGACTACCTTGGAGCCCAGTGCTTGTGCACACCTTGGATTCGAATGTGAACTTTGCCGTCAGAAAGGCCTGGATTCAAACCCCAGCTCTGCTGTCTACCACCCGGGAGGCCTCAACCTTTCCATTTCCTCACCGAAGGAGTGGAGGTAATACAAGTACCTGTGTGGCATTTCATGGAAAATTCAGAAAGATCAGCTCCTAAATGGCTGAGCACCAAAGGCTGAGAAACAGAAAGCACTGGGTGAGCAGTAGAGCACCGTCACCTGCAGCAGCAGCAGCATCGCCACCATCTGAATCCGCCACAGGGCGGGGCATGCTGTCGCTTTCCACAAACCTGGGCCTCAGCAGGGAGGCCCTGATGCATTCGGTTCCACCCTCAACTCTTCCTTTGCGGCTGTACCACCTTCCTGTTGGCAGTTGAAACAGGGACAATTGGCCTCCCCGCCTGATCTCTCAGCTCTGGAAGGTGAGACGCAGAGGAGGGTGATGAGAAGCCACCATGTCTCTGGTGGAAGCACTGATGAGACCCAGAGGGCAACGCTGGACGTGGTGCCTGCTACCCTCTTGCAGGTCTGTGAGAGTTTGCTGCTACAAAAGGCAAAATCACTCAAGTTGAAATGTCCTGTAAAGTGCTGGAAGCTTCAGCCATTTCAATCAACCGTAGCATAACGGCACATCCATGTTGGTAAGCCCTTTCTGACACGCAGTGGCACAGTTGAAGTGCTTGGTCTGGCTCTAGCTAATCATCACCTTTGTATCTCTCACCAAATGGCTGCGTGGGGACAGGCAGATGGGACTCTAAGGTGGCCCCTGGTCAGTCTTGCCGTTTCGCTGGCTCTAAAGCAAACCATCGCCGAAGTGAGACAAGGGCCTCTCTATGGCCATCAAGAAAGAAGGGCTTATGAGTAGAGCACGTCATTTGGACCCGAAGATCCCTGCCTCGTGGCAGTGGCCGTGGCCCCAAAAGCATGAGCCAGAGCAGCAGACGTCCCGGACCACAGAATGAGCAGAACTGGTGTCTTCAGGCAGGGAACTGGCTGCAGACCGGGCTGCTCTCTGGGCATTTATCAGTGCAAAAAAGCTTTGTAACACTTGCCCAAGTGTGACAGCGGCCAAGGAGACTCCTGTGTGACTCCTGTGTGACAGCGAGAGGCCTAGGAGACTGGAGGACCATGCCTTTGGGCACAGCCGAGAAGAAGCACTCTGCACAGAGCAACTGCTGTTTCTGATCCTGAAATGTAGCCTGACGTCTCTGCTAGCCCCTCATCATGAGTGTCGCCGGCAAGTGCCATTTGGAACCCCACAGGGAAGTGAGGGCAGTGGGGGCCATGGTTGGTATCAGAAAAGGGTAAAGCAGCTCAGAGGGAGGAGGCGCATCTGACCTCATAGGAGTCAGCCTCGGGCTGGGATTCTCCACTTCCTCCTGGTGAAGTCAGAGGCCAGACTTGGCCCCCCACCCGTTCTTGCACACACAGAACAAAGAAGAAAACCCTTGTTCCTGGTTTTCTGCCCTTCCCGCCCCCTTAACATTTTCCCCAATTACACAAGGACTACGTGAATGCTTTTTTTTCCCTTTTAATAAATCATTTTATTGGGGGCTCTTACAGCTCTTATAACAATTCTTACATCAATTGTAACAAGGACCCTTGTACATATGTTGCCTTCATCAACTCCCAAACATTTTCTTTCTTCTTGAGCCCTTGGTGAATGCTTTTTTGTTGCACAAATCTCGAGCTAAAGAAAGAGAGGAACCAAGTCCCGTCCCGCCGCCCCATCCCCGCCAGGCAGCACAGACAGAAGCTTGGGGTGTAGCCCCTTGACGTTTGTTTTGCTTTTCCAGGAAAACCTTGACTTTTTAGCAAATGCGTTGACGTAGGTAAATTTAAGCGTGGTTTCTTTTTGCTGGTTGCTTGGTGGGTTGGTTTGGACGGTGGGTGGCATGTTGGCCCTTTACAGCATTTCATTTCCCCCAATTGGAGCACATTCGAACATTGCTGTTCTAGGCCTCAGCCTTTGGTGCTGTTGGCACTTACTCTGAATCGGCTCTTTTCCTAGAAGAAATGCTCTCACAGCCTTCTGAGGCCAAGGAGCTCCAGTGTGGTGAATTAGAGACGGATTTATCACAAAGCTAATGAGACTCAAGCCTCGGGACCCTCACTCCATAGCACCTTTCAAGACCCTGTATCTAAATTTCTGTTTGTTATTTGTATTCGTCAAAACTATTGGCCGCCGCAGCCGCCACCACCACCAACTGTCCAAACCTCGTTCCCTTCCCTTCTTCTAGCCAGTGATGCGTCCGGCCTTGCCCTCCGCCAGGGGCATGGAGCCTACTGTCTGGTTGATACTTGGGGTTTCTGAGGAAGCTTTTCCTGAAGAAGACGACGATGCTGACAGTCTGAATTTTAAAATGCTGCGAAGCCATCTCCTATAACCTTTACATGCAAAGAAGTAGATGATGGGGTCAATACAACAGTTGATATTCATGAGGGACGCCGTGACCTGAAGAGAGCGTTTGAACGTGTCCTGCTCGGGACAGGAAGAGGGCTGGAGCAGCTGCCGCAGCATGAACTGGATGAGGTTGATGTGGTGGGGCTGAAGCACACCACCACAGCGACCAGCACCCCCAGAATGAGCAGGTAGGCCCTGCGGTGGTGCCCTCTCTTGCTCGTCAGAGGGTTTGCTCGGGCCGCCCGACACAGCTTCAAGGTGGCCTTCACATAACAAAATACTATAATCGCTACTGGCCCGCAGAAGCTTAGAGCACAGGCCAGTAGGACCCAGAGAGGCAGGCTGAGGATGTGCTCCACGCTGGCATATTCCATGCAGGTCACCTTGCCGTCCACGGTCTTGGTCATGGGCTGGAAGAGCAAGGGTGCCGTCTGCAGCAGGGCCAGGGCCCAGACACCCCCACAGACCCGCCGTGCTTGGCCAGCCTGGCGGAGCTGCGGACACTGGTGACCGCGGACTACAGCCAGGTAGCGGTCCACGCTCACACACGTCATGAGGTAGACACCCCCGTAGGTGTTCAGGTAGAATATGAATGCCGTCAGCCTGCAGAACCCGTCTCCAAAAGGCCAGCTGGCCTCCAGGGCGTAATAGGTGATCTTCCCGGGCAAGGCAAATGTGAACAGGAGGTCAGACACTGCCAGGTGGACCACGTAGATGCCTGTTGAGCTGACCTTCCCCCGCTTTGGGCAGGCGAGGGCAAGGGCCAGGCTGTTTCCCAAGGCACTGAAGGTGAAGAGGGCCGTGTAGAACAGAGAGAGCACCAGGCTGGCGGCCTTGGGTGGTAGAGGAGAAAGGCAGAGGGCGGTTGAATTAGTCTCGTTGGAAGCCATCGCAGAGAGATTCCTGGCAGGGGGAGACCACAGGGGGGGGAAAAAAAGGTAATATCATATCTGGTGTTACACCTTTCAGATAGAAATCATTAATCATTTTGCTGAAGCAGTGTATGTAAGAAAAACACATCTGCCCCCACTCCCCCAAACTTTGTATTGTGAATCAGGCGATGGTTTACATATGAGATTATTGGTTTTGCATTCAACAGCTTAAACAACTGACCAAACCTCCAATGGCTTGCCTGTTTTCTCCCTCCCCCTCCCCACTTCCCTCTGGTCACACATTCTCTTCCCCTTCACTGAAGTTAACACCTGTCTACCCCCTAGCCCGTAGGCTCCCAAACCTATGTGACCTACTACTCCCCTTTCAGAAAGCCAATAACTCAGCAACCCCCTGACAATTGAAAACATTTGTA